GCTTTCACACTCTTGCAGTTTGGTTTCTATTTCATTGTTAAAGGTGGTTTGAAAGTGTATAGATCTAAAATTACAACTATGTTTATATTAAAAGCATCTCTACTTGTTGTACTAATTTATAATAAATATTGATGCGACAGCAATTTGCCAATCCTATAATTTTATCACTAGCTAATAAGTTTTCGAAAAGGTTCGATTCATTGTTTGAACTGCATATTAGTCCAAAATTCTCTTAATTAAAAAACATGTATTTTCTAACCATTAAATTAATTTAAAAAGTGATGCCAGAGTGCAGGAGGAAATGCTGTTTCAGAGGCCCAAATTTAAAAAATCTCGAGCCCCTAGTGTTTGTGTGGACCTAGTAAACCGGTCATCCAAAATGCTGGATCCACCCCTGCCGGGACAGGTGGAAAATTAATTTCCCTGAAACCCTGGGGCATGCTTAGCTCTGACTTCTTGTGATTCCATTTTGCAAACTTATTTCGATCAGTTGAAGGCATGTTTACACGCTTGTGGGGTCCATGATTAAGTTACAGTAAAGTTTAGTGTATTTGTTAATAATAGTAAAGTTTAGTAACCAAAGTAGTAAACTGTGGCGAGCCCAAAATCCAGTGGTATTCAGTGGCTTGAATGGTTACAATTTCTCGACCGCTGGGGCATGTAGTTTTTAAAATGTTTGAAAATTACCCCTGTCCTGGGGAAAAAGTTATGTTCCTTACAATCTCCCAGTATTTCCCCATATTTACCCGACCTTGTTCGGGGGGGGGGGGTTACCCCCCTCGGGCAAGACAATGATAGGTGCATCAAGTTGCATGCCAGACAATTTTACCCGTCAAGATAGAGAGCGCTGGTGCTTAAAGTATACTGTATACATTACTTTGAAGGAATGGATTTTAGTTTGACAAGGTGTTTATGCAAATAAACTACGGCTATGTGTCCGAACGAAATTAACGAAATTTCAAGAAGGTATAAAAAGGCGCTCGATGAAAGAAATACTGCAATAAACAACCTACAGATAACTATCTGGTAACTAAAAAGAAATATTGCTTGGTATAAAACCAGTGAAAGCTCTACAATGGACTGGTGTATGCACAAACGCCATAATTTGAAGATTCGATCACGCACCTCGTTACTTTTCCCACTTAGTTTGCATTTAATCATCGTTTCTATTTTTTATGATACTGTTTGAAACTTCGGAATGATATTGAAATGCTGGGAGCCTATATCCAATAATAATTCAAGGATGAGTGATGATGACTATATAATTACTTTATGGTTTCCGTGTTTGGATGGTCTGATCCAAACACGCGGGAATGTTGCGAGAGTTAAGAAAAGCGAGCGAAAGCACGAGCCGAAGGCGAGTGATTTTGCCCGCTTTTCTTAACTCGAGCAACATTCCCAAGTGTTTGGATCAGGCCATCCAAACACGGAAACCATAAAGTAATTGTTTTATAAAATAACAACAACACGATAGTCTTCCGTGTTTGGATGGCCTGATCCAAACACGGGTTTCGACCAATCAGAACACGCGTTATATACATGTTATTTTATAAATTGACATACCAATACGTGAAAATATGGAGTATGGGAAAACTAGCTTCAATTTCAGACGGTCGCTCGATATCGTTGAGATCTCAACGATATCGAGTGACCTTCTGAAATTCAGGCTAGGGAGAACCACACTGAACAAATTTTCTCCGAATAAATATTTGTGTGCGGATAAGTTTCGCTCTTTAATTCACGGGACACCCCTTTCCAGACAAGGTTTTGATCACCTATCTGTGCACGTTTTTCTCCACCCAGGAAAACGTCCTATAACATTTGTCCAGTGTGAAACCCAAGGCGAACCCGCCGACGTTTTATTGAGTTTGTGCTGTACGGATTTCTTCCACGTCCAGATAAATACTTTTACGCGCCGTCGGTGTGCATGCACATTTCAAGCTTAGCGAAATATTTGAAGGACCAAGCTGTGGTTACACATGCGATTTTTTCTCGCGCCTGCAACGCAACCGGTTAAACTTCATTGCATTGCCGGCGCGAGAGAAGAAATCCCACTTGTATCATGTCTTGTGCGGCAACGCAATTGTAACTTGATGCCTCCGACAATCGTTGCTGAAAGTTAAAATGATTTAACGATTGCCGAAAATATCAAATTACAACAGATTATACTTAGTCAGCCATCCAGCCAATGTAAATCACTTTACTTGACAGCTGACAAGTGGACTGGCTAGCGAAAAATATATTTTGGGCGGCAAATCCAGTACCATGGCCATGGACTAGTAAAAGATATATCTCCAAGTTTGCACGCTATACTGTTGATACAAACAACTTTACAAAATCATACACCTTTATATTGACCTATATTAGGATCTTTAGGCAGTCTGTTGACAATATCTATCGATCACTTCAAAGTGATCAAACTTTTAAACTTGTGTTTAAAATTCAGAGCGCTAAATCATTAATTTAGCCTCGATTTGTAAACCTCTGACTCTGTGTTTGCACTTGTCTTAAGGCTGATTTACCCCGTACACTGCAACTTTTACCTAAATACCTGCTCACAACTTGAGTTCTACTGTGTAAATCAAGCACACAACTCGTCTACGTTTACCCAGCTAGTACGACTCAAGTTGTAAGCAGTTTGCATGTGATTAATTTTGACCCGTTGCGTTGCCCGCACGAGAAAGAATCGCACATGTAACCTTAATCGGCGAACTAACCGAGGTCGAAAATGAAAGTTAGTTCCTAACGTTTAGCCTATTACTAGTAAATCAAGGTATAAATTCATTTGTTTAATTTAAAACGCATCTGAAATAATAGCCCCAAAAGCGGTTTGCACGCTTCGTTGCCCATGAGCGGCCATTCAATATCCGTCAAAATCCACTAATATACCCTGGCTATTCGAAATGACACGAGGAACGGCCATATTGTTGATTGATTTGTGACATAATTTATCCAATGTGAAGGAAGATTTTTACTATATATACGTGTTCTAGGAATGTATTGGATAGCAAAATAAGATTTCAGACTATCAAGAAATGAAACCCGTATATTTTGAAAGAGTAATTCTGCAATAATACAATATATAAATAATACGTGGTGTACCAGAATATAATACTTGAAAATTTGAAATGCTCGAAGGAAAACATTTACAAGAAGAATCCTTTTAAAAATCCGTCTACAAAGTGTTGCAGAACAAACTAGACACTTCAAATACTGAAGATATCCTCGAATATAATAATCTTTGGCGATATAATGTGATGGCTGATTATTTAAATATATATGGGCTGCAGAATGGCTTGTGAAACTGGTAGCAAAACATTTTCAAGCAAAAAGGAAAACAAAGCGAAGCAAACTGATGTCAAACCGTATGAATGTGATGTTTGCAACAAAAGATTTTCAAATTCAAGCAATTTTGTAAAACATAAAAGAACACATACCGGGGAAAAACCTTATGAATGCGATGTTTGCAAGAATAGATTTTCCCAATCAAGCCACTTAGCGAGACATAAAATAACACATAGCGGGGACAAACCATATGAATGTGAAGTTTGTAAGAAGAAATTTTCTCAAAGGGTCCACTTGGCAGCCCATAAAATAGTGCATACTGGAGACAAACCTTTTGAATGTGATATTTGTAACAAACGATTTTCACGGTCATTTCGATTAACAGAACATAAACGAACGCACACTGGATATAAACCTCATGAATGTGATGTTTGCAACAAGAGATTTTCAAATTCAAGCAACTTTATCAAACATAAAAGAACACATACTGGAGACAAACCTTATGAATGTGATGTTTGTCAGAAGAGATTTTCCCTGTCATTTAACTTGGTAGTGCATAAACGATCACACACTGGAGAAAAACCTTTTGAATGTGATATTTGTCATCAAAGATTTTCTCATTCAAGCAATGTAGCATCACATAAAAGAAAAGTACATGATGCAGAAAAGCTTTATGAATGTGATATTTGCAAGAACAAAGAAATGCAAGCATGGTGCAATACTTGTGACAAAGAAATTAGCCAATCTCATGAATTACAAGATCATGTTCCAGAGAAATCTATTGGCAATCATTTTAATGATTGTGATTTTTGTAACAAAACATTCCCTGATTTCAAATGTTTGATACAACACAAGACAAAGGACCATGGACATGGTTCTTCTGACCAATTTCATATCTGCATTGAAGATCAACTAGAAACAATGTCAGAACCAACTGATATTGCATATGTTTGTTCTAAGTGTGGCATTGCATTTGATTTCCCAAGAGAACTTGAACAACATATCAATATGCATGGCAACCAAGACTGATTAATTACAAAGCACCAGGCAGTGAGCAATTCATAATCTGACATGTTCTGAGTATTGGAATACAAACTTAACCTTAAAAGCTGTAATAATAATGTGACTCAATTATTTATTACTTATTTTGTAAATGTTATTTTGAAAATTTATTATATATTTGTTCATTCATATTTTGGTATTTGTTAACTTTAATTCCCTTTTTTGCAGCCACTGCATATTAATGAGTTTTTCAGTATAATCATTATTCCGCAGTATAATCAATTATTCCTTTTGCTGATATGGCACAACTATGTATATATTTGAAAAGTAATAACAAACACGAAAAGCTTTTATTACCGGCGTATATAAAGGCCGTTTTCCACTAGGCGGAATTTTACGCGCGGAGCGGAATTTCTCTTTGTCTTTTCTAATTGGTTCCACCCGCGAAATCACTGAGCTCAAAGTATGTGAAAACTCGTTTTTCAACGCACTTTTCTGTATTTTATACGTCGGTAATAAATGTTTTCTCGCGTAAGTCGCGTTTATTATATATTACGTAAAATATGAACGGAGTGACCAAAGGCTGGTTTACACTATTAAATGGGTCACAGTAGGGATTTTGCATAGGTAAATTAATTTATAGGTTAAGAAATGTTCGTCCCTCAAACATTTCTTATACAAATCCTTCAAAACGTAGAATGTACCGATGCTGTGATTACATGCAGAAACTTTGATAGTGCAAACCAACCTTAAGGCGTGAGTGTTTGCACTTGCAATTTTTACTGCAATTTCTAGTGCCATTTTCTTCTTCTGATGCATGTGAAAGAGTAAATGGATTATGAACTCATCTACTCGTTCACATCCATCAGAAGAAGAAAATCACACGCAGCAAAAATTGCAAGTGTAAACGGACCTTTAAACAGATAGATATAGTGGGTACTACTGACATTCATACGCCTTTTTTTAATTGCCCAGTCTCAATTAACTATAAGAACTGTAATTTTATTTCGACTCATTGGGGACCATTGGGATGCCCTGTCGAAACTCTGTACTGCTGGGTCTATTTTATTACTGTAAGTGCGTATCCTAAACTTTATAAGCAATATCATTAATCCATTTCATTATTTGTCTAGAATATTATGTCGTCAGCTGAAAAGTTATTGTCAAATTCCTGTTTCAGTTTGGTATCTCTCAGTGTCGACCCAAAGGATTACCATTGCTTGAAACAAATAGGTATGTAAATGCATGGGTACTCTATTCCAATCAGCTAGGATGAGCTGCCAGACGTTGTACCAGGATGTTTTTAGAGTGTAATATATCTATGGTAATCAACAGCTATGCAGCATTGTTTCTCATGTCACTTCGATCTATTATAGAAAGAGTGGCTGCGAGATGAATTAAGACTTTATTTCTATGGTTACTTTATTAACTGTCAGGTAATCTCTAATTCAGGGTCTGGATTTGGCGATTTAACATCAATATGGCTGGCTCGATACAAAGATATTACCAAGAATATTGTTATAAAAAAAACCTACCTTGACATTTCTGACAGCGACAAAATTGATTTAATGAGAGTAAGTTCATCGATATAGTTCTCTGGCTTTGAGTGACGCAGTTTTGTATACAGCTTTAGGGCTTCGGTGGCGAAGTGGTTAGCGCACTTGCCTTTCACCTCTAAAGCCGTGGGTTCAAATCTCATTGAGAACTTCTCAATGTGTCTCGAACCCAGTCCTCATGTGAAAAGAGTAAAAAGTCAGCGCTCTGCCGAAAGTCGTGGGTTAGGCTCATAGGTCTGGAGGCAGATCATTAATGATGTATGGACTAATAACGGCTGCTCAAGCGCCATTTGTAAGCTCAAAGTCTACCTCGGTCTGCTTCACGTCAGTCCGGTTCTATCTATCTATTCATAATGTAACCAGTCACTGAAAAGCCCTGATAGGGAGTGTGCTGTGAAATATCTGTATCTGTAGCTTTAATGAAACAACATGGTGAAACAAGCACGTTACGAGTACGTACTACGCGTACGAGCGTGTTACGGCGGCATGCAGTATCAGCAAAATTGTGCAAAACACGCACACCAAAACTCTTACTATACTAAAACAGTCAGGGATGGATCCAGCATGATCTGGTAGGAGGGGGGTGGGGGTGGGTGGGGTTTGCTCTGCCAGCTCTGGTGCCGAGTTGTGGTTTTGCTTGACTACTGTATTTGAATTGTAATTGTTGTTCATTGTTCGCTTATCATCATGTTATTACTCAAATTACTGTGTCTCATTTTGTCTCTAATATATTTTTGTTTTATCGGGAAAAATAGCGCCCCCCCTGCACTCCCTCTGGCCAGGGCTAGAGGGTGCGCACCCTCTCCTGCACACACCCCTGCCCCCAATAAATTCATCCCTGAAAACAGTATTACAAATAATTTTCGTCTGGCGGTCTATGGCATTCTTCTGAAGATGACCGTTAAATTATAGTCGAAACGTAAAGAATGAAAATGTTTACAATTTTTGGAGTGTCTATGTTTTGTGTTGTACCTAGTTTCTCTTTCTATTTATCTCTTAGCATGAAGTTCACCTTTCAAGAGTTTTGTCGCACCCAAACATTCTGCCAAGTCTTGGTGCGTTTGTGTGCGATAAAGAGTTGTGGACTGTCAGTCCTTTCATGCAGTTTGGTTAGTATCTTGGACATCGTTGATTCATAAATAACTTTAAATCTATATTTATGAGCTGTTCTTGATGGCAATAGTTTGTAAAATGACTTACCATAAACATGGGATTTATGCTTTCTACTTTACAGTGATATATCATGCATGGGACGTAAGAAAAATATTTCTCGAAAAGCGTTTTTACTTTCAAAATAAAAACGCTTTTCGAGAAATAATTTATAAATTTTAGTATAACTTGTTTTTCATATCTCTGAGGATGGTTCTGAAGTAGAATTGAAACAGCGTGCGTCCTCCAAGAAAAGCGTTATTTATAAGGCGGCACGAAAATATTTCGTGTACTTAAATTGGATAAGACTCGCTACGAATTCCCGTTGATTCGATAGCTCAATGGATAGAGCGGCGGTCTAGAAACCCGAAGTTGCCCAGTTGAATTTGACAGAGTCAATCTTACAAAACGATATTATTTATTAGTAGTAGGCTATACATGTTTATGTGAATTATGTCCCTAGAAAATTTCAAGGGATTACACGTAACATTCTATTCTGCTTACACGAAAAAGATCAATTTCATCTAACAACGGAGAAAACTAAAACCCAACAAATTTCTAGTACACTCACAGGTCTTTTGTTTGGACAGGTTTATAATAGAAATGCGATATTTTGTAGGTTCATGTGACAAGATTATGACAGCTGGATTCCCCTATGGTTTACCAGAAGCAGCCATTGCATATATATTACGAGATGTTTTAAAGGCTCTTGATAACATTCACAGGATGGGTTACATTCACCGGTAAATAAATATTCTACATTATTTTTGTGTTGAGCTAGTGATATCTTTCTCAGCTCATGACTCTATTTTTTACGGATAAAATATACGAACACGTCACACATTAATGTGAAGTGAAGGTAGATTCTTCTTCCGTGGACTCTGTCAGGTTTTAGTTAAAGTAATGTCAACTGCCAGTGTTCATTTCCTTTTGTCATTCAAATTTTTGGGGATGGGTCATTAGAAAATGAAATGGTTGGGGGTGGGGAAAAGAACAGAAAAAGATCCATAGATCGAAAACACGAAAAACATGCACACAAAGTAAAAAAGCGTGCACTTAACAGAAACCCCCCTGCTCCACCCCAAAATTTTTGTTGTTTAGCTTCTAAAACGAACAACAACAAAAAAATGACAAATTACAAATTCGTCTTACCGTCAGTTCGAGTATATAAGAATGGTTGACTACAGAGCAACGAGTATTCTCATAACAACTTATACGTTAACGCAAAGTGTAACCGAAGTGTTAAATTATTTGGACGACGGGAAGTTGTAAATACTTCCGCCGTTCATGTACAATTAAATTAAATTAAATTCCCAAAGGTATAATAACGCACAAGAGTAATTTCTAAAGGGGGACTTTTTTGGGGACGCCCTGTAGAACTATGTGAGATTTTAAGATTTTAATCCGCCAATTCATGATTTGGATGCATTGGTATTTAATGTGAAGTTAATTCATGCATGCAGAGGAGGACCGAGGCCATAGATCATTCCACTGACTGTTTCCCGTTTTAAGAAGCATTTAACTATAATTCGGCCGACTAAAATCGTAGCGCGTGGGCACGGCTTAATGAACGATACAATGCATGTTTTCGCTTATTATATCTAGCTTTTAAAATATAATGTATACACACACTGAGTCATTCCGTTACTGTACTGACCAGTTACGTAGTGATGGTATAGCTGATGTGATACCGATTTACTTGTCTTTGTGCATGTGCTCTGTGCAATTAATATTTAAAAGTTGCAAAGATTAATGCATTAGCCTTACCGAGCACAACACTCATGTCGTATCGGATTGGTGGGAGGGAACGGAGAAGGATGATTAGAGCACCTCGAATGCTATGTAGACGTAATTATATGGCGGTAATCACCCCTCATAATTTTGTACATTGGTGTTAGAAAATGTATTACAGTATTTAGTTAAGACTAAGCAATGATTCCAAGAAGTATTAAACTTAATTCTGAGTATGCATATCTTAACAAACAGCGGGAGTTAAGCTAATTTGGTTATTACATAATCCGTATCGATGCTGAATACGAACGAAAACGAAACATTTTGTAGCAGAGTATTCTGTAATTACAACACTAGTCACTGTTGTTCTTTATGGTGGATGTCCAGCGATAGTGTCTGTCGTCTGATAATCTTAAATTCGGTCTAATATTCGGTCTAATAAGCGAAACCTTAGTGGTCTTTGTTTATTAACCAGCAGGAAGATGCTACAACAATAGGATACCATGCAAATCAGATAATTTCCCGATAACTGAAATTACGTATATGATAAAATGTTAATATACAAAGTTATAAAATTACGTATGTTATAAA